CGGAGCCTGTGCTCAGCCGCCCTGCCGCGAAGCCTCTGTGGGTCTCTGCCTCGGTTTCCCTCTCTGTCCAGGGGGCTCTGTCGGCCTGGGCGTCTGGCATTGAGACACCGGCAGACACGGGACTGGCAGCTGCTCACTTTTTTCCGGGTCACTGGCAGCCGCTGTGTCCTGGTCAGAGCCGCGCCGGCCTGCAGATCCCTCCCTGTGAGGCGACAGAAATGGGGTTCAGGGCCTACGGCGGCCCAGGGCCCTGTGGCGGGGACGGGGCTGTGGCTCAGGGTGGGCCCTGGGGCCATGGGTGAGCTGCGCCCCCTCTTCAGAGAGATGCCCATGTGCACGCACACGCACACGCATGCACACACGCCCACGTGTGACGCTGAGGACTGTGGGGTCCTGCATGACCACTGCCCTGACAGCCCCAGGGCTCTGGCGAGGGGGCCGGTCCTAGCACTGCTCCTGGAGAGCTGGGGTCCCTGGGTAGGCTCCCCCGACCCACCCAGGGCTGGACCCAAACGGCATCACCAGGAGGCCGCCCAGGTGCCGAGAGGGGTAGGTGTGGGGACCCCCACTCACTGTCACAGGGAGAGGCTGGTCACCTGCAAAGACCCCGTTCCCAAAGGAGGGCGCATGGGCAGGTGCGGGGGGCTAGGCCCTGTGGCCTCCGGGGGACACGTCGACCCACAGCCGGGCTAAGGGGCCTCCTGAGCATCGCTTTGGGGGCCGCTTGTCGGGCTGGGACAGCAGGCTGTGGGGAGGACACAGGCCCTGCGCCCCGGACGCCACACCGAGCCCACCTGAGGGGCAGCCGGGCCGCCTGTCCAGGCTGTTTCCCCGTGAAAATATCTTATTTTTCCCAGAAGCAGCAGGAACCCAGCATGTCTCCCCCAAACACTGGAGAACGAGGGCTTTCTCCTGGGCCAGCGCGCTGGGTGGGTGTCCTCTGGCCTCCAGGCCCCTCCCGCGGGCCTGTGGCTAGTCTGGGGGCTGCCGGGCACAGCAGGCGCCGGAGAGCCCAGCAGGTGGCTGGGGGACAGCGCATGGCTCGACCAGCTGGTGACCCTGCGTGTGGCATTTCTTCCTAGCGGTGGGAGCAGTAGTCTCTGCTTTGGGGGTCGGCCCCAGCTTCGAGGTGACGCTGGAGCTGTGTGAATGCCGGGCCGGCCGGGCAGGGAGGGGCTCTGCGCGGCTGACTCGGACTTTCCCAGAGAGCCCTGCCAGGGCCCGTCTGTTTCGGCAATCAGGGGACAAGTGCAGCTGGATGTCCCCTTCCACGGCCTCACGGACGGGCCAGGGACCTCACTCCGCCACACACCCAGCCCCCCGCGCGGACCCATCCTCAGGTCCCAGAGGCCACAGGACCAGCGGGCCTGGGACGGAGCCAGCAGCCCCTCCCTGGAGAGGTGTGTCGGGCCCCAACCAAGGAAGAGGAGAAATGGAACCAAAACTCGTTTTAATGCTCTCGGCTGCTAAGTTCAGCCCTTTAGCCAGGACTCTGAGTGGCGCGTTCGCAGGGCGATCCCCTTCCAAACCCCACCTCTGCGCGGTGGCCTCGGCCAAGAATAATGGGAGTGGATGGCGCCATTTCCCTGCTCCGTCCCGGTTGTCATGGGGAGATTAGAGCAGGGGACGGCAGGGCCATCTGTGCGAGGACGAGCCGGCCGCGGGAACAGACACAAAACGGCCAGGCCACCTCTGCGGGGCTCACGAATCACCGCCACGCCCCGGTGGGCGCACCGGCCAAGCCTTCTCTCCGCCGCAAAGCCGCCCAGCTACTCTGGTAAAATCCGCCCTCCTTCCAGGAGCCGGAGCCAGTGTTTCGGTGGAAGGAAAAGGTTTTGGAAAAGGACCCTGAGCTGCACTTCAACCCGACCCCGGAGGCGCCCCGTGGGTTGCACACAAAGCTCTGAAGCTCAGCCCAGAGTGCGGGGCCTGGGCGCATGGTGGGAGGGACACGGAGGGGCGTGACACCGCCCAGACACCTGCTGCCGCCCCCCCCACCCCGCCCCGACGGAGCCCATGCGTCAGCGATGGCGTCCGCTCTGCCCAGCACGGCAGCCCCGGGCCACACGTAGCTACTTATGTTTCAATTAGTTACGCTAGACAAAATTAACAATCCTGTTCTTTGATCTGAGTAGCCACAGCCCAAGTGCTCAGACACCCAGTGTGGCCGGTGGCGGCCGTATTAGCACAGATACGGGGGACAGTCCCGTCACGGTGGGATGTGCCCAAGGACACGCCACGCGTCCTCTCTTCCCCTGCACTTGCCAGTGGGGAAGGACACAGACCAGCCTGGACGCCTGGGTGGTGGGTCACTGACTCTGCCACCAACATGCTCTGTGACCTCAGGCTCGTGTCACCTGTGGGACAGGGGACAAGGAGGGCGGGAAGAGGGACCCAAGCAAGCGTGCGAGCACACTCAGCCCCTCACGTGGGGCCCCGAGTGGCCCCAGGACAGCGCAGCAGGTCCCCGCAGTGGGAAGCAGAGGCGCCCCGACCTTGCACTGAGCCTCCGAACCGTAAGAAACCGCCATCTTCACTTACGAGCTACACGGGTGTCCAGCTACAGCGCCAGAGACGGACCGAGACCACTCTGCTCTCTGGCGGGAAGTCGCCGCGGGTGGCGGGAGGGGTTTGTGTCTCCCGCCCATTTATTTTCATTCGGCAATTTTTGTATCATCATGGATTGTGGGGTTCATTTAGTGCCCGGGCGAGCGCCCCATCCGGTATTTCTCGCGCCGTGGCTGGAACGGCTCCAGCGCTCGCTGCCGGAGCTGCTCAGCCGGTTCCTGTGCCCTCAGGCGGCCCTGCATCCCCTTGCTGTGTGTGTTCAGGGCATTTTCCTACTTTCCGGCACTGAAAGGTGCTCGAGGCCTAACAGGTGCGTCCCCCGCCCGGCTCCACAACCAGCAGCCTGGTGCCTTCGCCTGCGGAACCTCGTGGGAACCGGGACCGGCCTGAGTGTGCTCTGGGGGCTGGCGCTGCGCACGCGCCCTCACCTGGCGGACACACAGGCCGACAGCTGTTTCTGAATCTGTCCACCTGCAAACACGGCAAGCGGAACACGCGTCCACACGGACGTCGCCAACTGACCAGTGACAGCCTGTCCGCCTGGCTGTGTCCTCCACCCGCCGACGGCCAGCGCCCGGCCCCCACCCACTCCGTTCAGGGACGTGTTCACGCTGTGACACGTGACGTGGGTGCCGGACAGCTCACCGTGCCGGATGGAAGCACCCACCGCGCACAGAGCAGTGTGCTCCCGCCCGCCCTCCGTGAACCGCCGCTGTCCGAACTCCCTGGGTCGGTACCTGCGGCCCCCACCCACGAAGCCCACGTGATGATGAGGGAGCTGAGGCTCCTTTTCCTCCTCACACGACGGGGCGGGGGCAGTTGCTGGTTTTCAAACTCATGACCCCTGACCCCAATGTCCCCTCTTGGCCACCACCCTGCGGGCTCCAGCTCTGAGCAGCCTGGGAGAAGCGTCCCACCGTGGCCGGGCTCTGACCAGAGGGCACGTTCCAGCAGACACAACGTGGACAGTGCGTGGCCTGTGAGGCGTCCACCCCCATCCCTCGCCCGTCCTGGCAAGGAGGGTGACGCTGCCGCCCTGGCACCCGGACGCTCAGACAGGAGCTCACCCAGCCGGCTGGCACCCGGCCACTCGGGCCACTCTCAGCATCTCTGACGTCATCTCGGCCCTGCCCTGAGCTCCGGAGGGAGGCCCAGGACACGCACACAGCGGCCATCGCGGGTCCAGGGCCGTGCGGGGTGCAAACTAGAAACTTCCTGCTGGTTCGCGGACGTCGGGCTGGGAGCCCACAGAGCAGCCGTCCAGGGCCGGGACTGGCGCCCAGCCTGGCTGGGGCTGTGCCTGCTTCCCCTGCGGCCTCTCCAAGTCTGCCAGGCTCTGCCCCCACACGCGTGACGTCCTGTGATTGTGCATGAACAAAGGCTCGGAGGGCCGCGTGCGACATGTCGATGGCATCGTCGTGTACCCCCCACCTGCCCCTCGACACAGAGCAGACATCGCAGCCTTCTGCTGGCCGGCCCGCGGTACCGCCCAGGGCCTGTCCCCACGTTAGAGGGTGAGGCTTCTCCCCGTGGGGCCTTTCTCACACCGCAGGCCCTGGCGGGGGACTGAACGGCTCACACCCTGAGCGGGGTCGCTCCACCTCCCAACTCAGCGTCGGGCGAGAGCTGTGGGCGGCATCCCAGAGTGGTCAGTGGCTTCCGGCCCACGCGCACAGGCCCCTGGTCCCCCATGGCTGTGGGGCCGAGCTGAGAAGGGGTCCAGGGCAGTGGCCCTGCAGGGCTGGGATGTTTCCTGCCCGTTCGATCTTCCCCGAGGCCCTGTGAGCTCCAGGACTCTGGGAAGCTGTGAGACACGCTCAGGAGACGCAAATCCTGCACCCAGTTCCCGGGTGCTGGGGGCAAATCCCGAGACACTTTCCCAGCAGTGGAGAGAGGGGGCGGGGTGAGCTGTGGCTTCCTTGCCTCTGCGTCCAACCCTCACCTGCCGTTCCCACCTTGCCACCGGCGGTTCCTTGTCCCTGACCGGCTGGGGTCTCACCCGAGCCTGGGAGCCCTGGGGACAAGCCCGTGCACTGTCAGAGCTGCCACCACCCGTGGGTGCCTAAGGCCCCCAGTCTCTGCACCCACAGCCCAGCACCTGTGAGCCCGTCAAAGTCCACGTGGCAACACCAAGCCGCCCCGCCCAACACCCAGAGCCACCCCTTCCCCGGCCCCCACGTGGCCAGTGCCCCTGGGCGTGGCTTTTGCTCCTGGCCTGTCAGGACCTTGCCCCGAGTCCCACAAGCCCACCGAGTCACCCTGTCCCACCTGGACACACCAGCCACGCCAGTCCCTGCTGGGCGCCGGCTGACAGCAGCAGCCCCCAGCTGCCTGCCCCACCCGCCCTCAGCCCACCTTGGCACCCTGCTCTGAGGACGCTCCACGGCCTGCCACGCGGAGCGCATGGCCCGCTGGGCAGGGGCGGAGCTGAAATGCCCAGTCTGCGTCTCTGAGCTGCCGTCGGCCCTGTCTGGGCGCTGGCCCATAGCGGGTTGGGGACACTGCGGAACACGGGACAGGGGTCAACTTTCCTGGGCAAAGCACACTGCCGCCGTGAGAGGAAGTTAGTGTTGCGGCAGAGAACCGGGGAGCGAGGCTTGGTCTCGGAAAACCGGGAGGCAGTGCAGAGTGAACCCCCAGAGAGAACAGCTCAGGAAAGCGGACCCCCCACGCCCCTTCCTGCCGCGTCCTAAGTCTGTTGGGAAGAAATAACATTTTCCTCTTCAAACGCATCAACCTCCCAAGCGCCAGTCACCAGCTGTCCCCTCTGGCTCTCGGCAGCAGGAAGCCCAGGGTGGCTCTTCTGGCCGACGGTGTTCTCCATGGGATACCGGGGTCTCCACCACCGCTACTGGGGTCCATATCACCTGGCCCACATCACCTGGCCCATGTCACTTGGTCCCTGTCACCTGGCCCATGACACCTAGTTTGTCATAACTGGCTCACTCCCACCTATGGGTGCTCTGGTCTGAACAACAAGGACCCCGTTCTGCTAACCCCACCAGCCGGCCCTGGACTGCCGTGCTGGGAAGGGGCCTCCGTGACGGGTCAGTGACGTCTGCTGGCGGTGGAGGGGTGTAGTGACAGGCGTGCTGTTTCCCGGCTGGCCCCACCCTACGGTGTGGGTCGGTGTCGTTGGCTCAGACCAAATCTGTGTGACCTCAGACAAATCGCTTTGCCTCTCTGAGCCTCAGTTTCCTCGTCTGTAAAATGGGTTTAGGAAACATGATGCCTGTTCTCCAAGGAAAGGGATGGGGAGGAGCCCAAGCTCTCAGCAGAGCAACTTAGAGAGGGCGAGGCTCACACGCCTGTGACCTCCACGTCCTCTCCATGTTAGAAACCCAGTGAGACCTGCACACGCGTGTTCACTGTGGGACTGGCTCTGAGAGGGGAAGCTTGGCGGGAGCGACCGCTGGCGGGAGAGGGCACGGAACACACAGCATGTCCACGCATGGGCGCTGCCGGCCATGGAACAGACTAGGGACAGCCACGTGGAGAGAGCTCAGAAATGTCACGTTGAGCGCAGAGAGCTGTTCACGGGTGAAGCGGATGCACACGCATGCACACGCATGCGCACGCGTGAGCACTGCTGCCGGAGACACCACGTGTGACAGAGCAGGTCTTGACCGGCGGCCAAGGCCGGGCCATCAGAGAGCCCTCGCGGCACTCGCTATGGTGTCCCCGAGCTGCCCTGAGACCACGGCGCTGGAGCGGCCTCAGCCTCACAGATGTCCCCCCACGGCGCCCGCCTTGGACGTCCTCCCCGGCCCGTGTGCCTGGGGAACGCCACAAAGCGACTCACGGGCGCCACACGGAACTGACTCGCGGATACCAGCGCTCCCGACGCTGGCATCACGTGGGGGGAGGGGGGTGTTAAGCACTGAGTTTTGCATTTGACCTGCACTTGACCCCACAGCCCCCGTTTTGTCCCCCGCACAGGGGGACAGGGTTGCACTGCACGGCAGTGACAAGACGGACGCAGGTTTCCGGAAGCCAAGCCCACGCCGTGTGGAGCATTGAAATCACGGCTGTTCCAGAGACGGCTCCAGGCTGCCAAGGAGACCCGAGCAGGGAGGAGCTTAGCTGTATTGCTCGAGGGCCCAGAACTTTCTCTTGCCCGATCACCTGCCCTGGCGGCACTGCTGGAGGGCCACTGTTTGCTCCAGTTCCGTGGCTCTTCCGGACTTTCCTCTTTCAGGTTCCCTCTGCAAAGGCGGCTGTGTGCGCCCAAGCCCACCGTGCATGTGGGGCGGAGGCCAGGCCCTGGGGGCACCGAGGAGGGGCTGTCTCTGGGAGATGGATCTGGCCGGGCTTTGCTGTGGGTGTGGGGCCCGGGGCCTGGCGCAGGGGTGGTTTGGTGGCAGGAAGCCTGGAGGAAGCCGTCCTGTCCCTCCCTCCTTTGTGAGAGGAGCTCCTGGAGGCGGCTCCGCCCAGCGTGGCCCTGGGGACGGAGCAGGCTGGGCTGGGAAAGCACTTTGTAAAGTGACTCTGCCGGCGTCAGCATCACCATTAGCAGGACGGCGGACCTGCTCTGACGACTTTGCCAGGACAGCCTGACCGGGGCCCAGACGCGGGACCCAGGAGGGCTGGGGAGGCGGCCGCCGGCTGCAAGCTCCTGTCCCAAGCCCGGATGTGCTCTGGGACAAAAGCAAGTGGCACCGCTGCCCCCCACATGCCCCACGGAGCACATCTGTGCCCCGGCACCCAGGCAGCTGGTCCTGCCCGGGAGGGGGCCGCAGGCTCGGTGTCAGGGCGGCGGGAGAGACCTCAGCCCGGGCTGCAGTCGCGGGTTCCCGGCCGCCTCGGCCCTGAATTGTGCAGCGACCTTCAGGCCTCAGCTTCAGCGGCGTCTCCTCCATTTGCCCCTGGAGACCCATCCTCTACCTGTGGTGACCCCGAAATTCACGTCCACCTGGAACCTGGGGACGTGACTTACCTGCAAATGGGCCCTTGCGGGTGTGGTTGAGATGATGTCACCCTGCACTAGGGTGGCCCCGACCCGACGTGGCTGGTGTCCTCACAAGAGGAGAAAGGGCGGAAGCACGCGGAGGAGGTGGCCACGGCTGAGGGACACCGGGCCCCCGGGAGCTGGGAGAGGCGGGAGGGACCCTGCCCTGGAGCCCCCGGCCGGGGGGACACGGCACTGCCCACACCTTGACTTCAGACTCCTGCGTGAAGTATCTGCACTTGCAGGGAGGGGGGGGGGGGGCTGGGGGCTTGGAGACCTCGTGAGCGAGCGGCAGGGCCGAGGCTTGGACCCGCACCGGACGCGTGAGAGCTTGCCGCCGTGGCTGCCTCACGCCAGCGGCCACGTGTCTTCTCCAGAGACCACAGCCCGGGAGGAGCCGTCCCCAGCCGAGGGGAGGCACAGGGTGCCCAGGCCCCTGCCTTGGCTCTGCCAGGGATGGGTCCCTGCACGGGCCCAGGCTCCTCTGCATGAAAGGCTGGCTCAAGCCACACCCTCCTCTTTCAGTCCTAAGAGGGGCAGTTCTTGTTTTGTGCTTCTTGGGAAACTTGATCTTTTTTTCTCTCCAGTGAGAATTTGTTAGGGAAGTGAGGATGTGAGAACCTGAGCCGACGCAGTCACGTACCGACAGGAGAGCCAAGGGAGATGGGACGCCCATGGGAGACGGAGGTGGGCCTTGTGGACATTGTTGGAGCAGCTGGATCAGACTCTTCCTGAAGCCCCATCCTGGCTCAGAAAGCCTTTGCACTTCATTGCTGCCCCTGGGCCCAGAGCCCCCGCAGGCTGGCTGAGGAGGCAGACGCAGAACAGCAAACCAGGGCAGACACATGCTCCATCCTCAGGGCACAGGCCCGGCTGAGGCGGTGAGGCGGGGGATGGATTTCCTGAAAGGGGGGAACTCTATCCTAAAGCAACAATAGAACACCAAGGGGCTTAATTAAAGGGAAGAGGAAAAGTTTAAATAAATACTACGCAGCAGCCGAGATGGCCGTGGACTTGGCGGGGATGAGCGCCGGAGAAACGCGGAGGGAAGCGAAACCCTTCACGTTGGGCGAACCACCAACGTGGGAGGCTCCGGCTGAGACGGGAGGCCCACGTGTCCTGCGGGTCCCGGGCTTGGTGGCTCCCTGACGAATTCCGTTGGCTTTCCTGGTCCTGGGACGCACGTGGGGGCCTCGTCCATGCCCGGGGGATTCCGAGGTCGGGTCT